TCTAACAATCTAAAAACAAAATATTTTCTATCTTAAATAATCTGCAAAAAGTTTATAAACCATAGAAAACGAATGAATCAAACAACCTCTCTCTCTCTCTCTCTCTCTCTCTCTCATTTTCTCTTTCTCACCTTTTACCAAACACACACACACACGCTTGCGCGCAGAAAAGGAAAGATATGAGCACCTCTTGACAATTTTTTTACCAAGTAAAATTACTGATGTGGGTCTAGTCACACCCCTTACCAGAAAAGCAGAAAAACCTGATAAAGAATTGTTTTAGACACCAGACCATGTAGCAAGTCATACTAAGTGGCAAATACCAGTAGGACTAATATGGTATATATGACTATATATATATATATATATATATATATATATATATATATATATATTTCATAAAAATTGTTGCACATCGAGGAATCCGACAGTGATCGGGTTTTTGTTAACAATAATTTCCACAAGAAAATACACCATCTACAAAAGATCTGTTGGTGAGTAATACCTATTTCTCTATTTATTTCTCGGTCCGTTTATGGACACAGAAGTGTTCGAAAATTCGAACTTAAAACCTTTCTTTCCGTGATTCATTTCTGTCATGTGGTTAATAATTAATATTTAATAAATGTTTATCGTACTGATTATCCTTGTTTTATTAACTAACTTATCTTATATATATATATATATATATATATATATATATATATATATATATATATATATATATATATCGTAGTACTATGACCTTCTGTAGCCTTCTAGAGCTTTTTGGAATCATCTAGAACCTTCTGGAATCTTTTAGAACTTTGTGGAACCTTCTAAAACTTTCTTCTAGAATTTTCTGTAAATATATGACGTTCATTTTGTAGGATTATACATCTGTGAGTGCTGGTTGGGTTGTCATATAGATAAGACGAATTGGAAAACTTTTCCACGTCAGTTGATTTCAAGTTATATGGATCAAAATAAGTGTAACATTTTGCGTACTTTCGTCATTGTTGTGTTTGCTTATCTATTTTTTTCTTCGTCACTTGAATTCTTTTTTGTTGAGTTGTTTTGATTGTGTGTGGTGACGTGGGAACACCACCATTATGGCGGAATCCCAACAAATAGACCCGAAACCCAGAGCGGCAAGCTCTTCGGCGTGGATATTGGATAAACCCCAAAAGAAAAGGTCGGATTATTATATCAGCCTGAAAAATTAGTATGAGTAATTTGTCTCAGCAAATGAACTGTTAACATTGCCCTCGTTTTTTGAGGCTACGAATACAAAAACTATTTCCCTGACGACAACGGATTTTGATCCGCGTCAACAGGGATACCATGAAGGAGGCCCTAAAAAGCCTTAATATTGGGACTAAAATATTGACCCGGAGAAGTAACACCATGGGGGACATCTTGTTGGCAACTGAAGACGCGACTAAATGACTTTCTGTGAGCATCGTCAAAACGAAGTCAGTGAGGTTTCAGACAGAATATATGGATGTGTGCTGTCTACCGATTTTGTTATCTATTCAGCATACTGGGACCAGCTGGCCAGATACGCTTCCTTGCTGGTACTCTATGTTCGAGGGTGGATCTTGTCTCTCTCGATGCGGGCGGAGGTGGTTGATCGTGACCGATACTGCCGTGAACAGTAGTTCATTTTGGGTCGTTGCAGATTATATGCCCAATGACCAGATGGAGTTTTCTCCTTTTTCCGTCAGTTAGAGCCGTTCCTATTGAATTAATCGCGCTTCGTCTTAGTAGAGGAGTGGGGTGCCATTCTTGACACCAAAATAGACATGGGCAGGGAGATAGCGAGAAGTCGGACGATCGTAGCCTGGTTGATCTGATTATCGACTTTCGTCTCGTCGATAGATACCGGGTCGATTACCCTAGGCGGAAGACGTGGACGTGGACACTTAAGTGGCTGTCTACTCGGGTAGCCAGCTACCTGGATAGAATGTTAGTGAGAAGGGCCGATTTGGACTTGCTAGATTGTCCCACGTTCCACTGGTTAGGCTATTCGGACCATAGACTTGTCTATGCCCGGAGAGCGTTAGGTACTAGGCCAAGAATTGTTGGACACTGGAATTTCAATCTGTCTGTAATGGACAGGCGGGTTTTCCGGTAATAGTTAATTAGACTAGTGCAGCGGGAACTAATGGGGGTGGTTATTGGGAATATGTGGTGGAAGAGGCTTAAAGATAGCATCAGGTCATTCACCACCGAATATAACCAGCAGCTCGCACTTGATAAGTCTAAACAGGTGAAGAAGCCTGGCCTCTGTGATGAAGAGTTTAGCAGCTATTTGGATGACTTTCCTAGGCTTTCACCGACTGAAGTGGTTAGCTTAGAGAGTAAGATAACAGAGGGCGAAGTCTACTAGGTATTGAAGAGGGGTAAGTCTCCAGGACTTGATAGTTTGTCCTATGAATTGTACTTTAAGTCTGTCGTACATATTCGTGCCGATTTTGACTGTCATGTACAAGTACAGGTTCCACCAGGAGTCCGTCCTGACCGAATCACCAGGGGTGTGACACGCTGTTGGAATAGGGCAAGAGTGATATTTGAGATTTAGATTATTATAAGCGCATAACTCTGTTAAACCAAGAGTGGAACCCGAACAGACGTGAAGGTTTGCACAATTCAGAGCAAACTGCATCTGATCTGCATGATCATAGACTTTGTAAAAGATGACGAGCAATCCACTTTGATCAATTAGGTTAAGTCCAAGGCATTTGACAGGATCGACCATCGGTACCTGGCTGCTGTCCCGCAAACCGGCGGATTCAAACCCGATTTCTGCAGGTGGATTAGTCTCCTGTATCGCTCCACCGGTGCTGTGAAACAGGTGAACGGAAAGAGTCGCGCACACAGGTCTATATATATATATATATATATATATATATATATATATATATATATATATATATATATATATATCGAAATCTCTCGAATATATAGAAGATTATATCAGCTTTTAGACATATTGTATCCAGAAAAGTTAACAGTTATTGTGTGTGTGTGTGTGTGTGTGCTTGCTTGTGTGTGTGTGTGTGTGTGTGTGTGTGTGTGTGTGTGTGTGTGTGTGTGTGTACAGGGTGCGATAGGTAAGTTGTCGCTATGTAATATTTTAAATTCGCACAAGCGTACTGTTTGTTTTTGATTTTGTCGACTGCTCAATATAGTAGGGTTAGTTGACCAACTTCTGTGAGAAAAAGAGCAACATGTCGCAAATCATGCCGCCAGAAATTTTTGAAAGGGCATGCTGTACAGCTTGGTATTTTCACCCAAATCTTTTTACAATGATGCACAAAATGTAGGGGAAAAATATTGTTCATAAACTCGATTTAGCTTTGTTGAACGACGTTCAAAACCAGTTAGCTAGCTCGTTTTCATTTTTTTTCTTTTTACTTAGTACCATCAGTGATAATAAAAAAAATATATTTTGTCTATTTATGGCAGTGATTAAGAGTTGTATCACCAATAAAATCTTCAAGTATATTTATATACACACACCAACCTACGCACACACACGCAAGAACAAACACACGCAAGAACAAACACACAAGAACCCCCCATATATATATATATATATATATATATATATATATATATATATATATATATATATATATATATATATATATATATATACACACACACATACATACGCATATATACACACACACATATATACATTGTGTGTTTGTGTGAAAATATTATTAAATATATTAAATTATAAATATTATTAAATATATAAAATATATATTATTAAATATATTAAATTATAAAAAATAAATAAATCTCCATAGACACTTAACCAGACTAGACAATGCCATCTTCCGCTTTAAATTTTGACACCCCAACCTTACCCTGACTTGACCTCGTTGAATGTAACTCAGATACAAATTATTAACCCTTACGCTCCTTTTCTTTAAATAATTTCTCTAGCCGTTACCATGGTAATTTTAATTTTAATAATGAATATGCTTATAAAACGTGTAAATGTCAGGAATTAGTTATTCCCAAAAAAAATTCGCTTGAAGATGGAACAGAGCTTGGTACTTTAATTCAATTCAATTCTAATAATTATATTGAAGTTTTCAGCTATTGTTTCGAAACATGAGAACTCTTATGTAGCGATGGAATCATATTTTTAAATAAATAACAGGGATGTGTCTACAAAATAAGAGAAAGAAAATATATGATATATATATATATATATATATATATATATACCTATATGTATGTGTGTGTGTGTGTGTGTGTGTGTGTGTGTGTGTGTTAATCGTAATAGTAATAATAATGGCTTGCCTCTCGTATATAAGTATGCCTTTCTGCTAAAGTGACTAGCCGATCCCTATTGCAAACGGCCGCAGTAGCACATTTGTATTTGTTCAACACCCACATACACCACCTGTGTTTTATACTCCATATATGTTACAGTTAGTTACACTATATATATATATATATATATATATATATATATATATATATATATATATATATATGTATGCGACTGTACGTTAAAGATAGACTTTTTATAATTTTAACATGTGACCACCTATTACTTGGAAAAGGTTTTTCTCTATGCACGTTCATGTTTCTTAGTGTTCTTAATTTTCTTTAAGTGTATTCAGTTTTTGTGACTTGTCCTGTTTTCGTTTTTATAGAAGCTAAAGAACCCTCGGCTACTACGAATCTGAACACGGACATCCACTGATCATTACCAACAAAAACTATTTCGTCACGCCAACCGATTCTAAGCTTATAATTTCTCTTTATCAATACCGCCGCTATCTTGTTCCCCTTTTATTTTTCCTATTTTCTCTATCTCGTTTCAAACGGTACTTCATAGCTAATTCCCAATCTTTCATGTGTTTCATCTTCCTTTGAATTTGTCATGTGCGACTGCGGTACGAGAAAGGTAAACCACGACCCGAATTCTCGGCTTGCCACTTGTGGCGGGAGGTGAATCGCACAAGGTGAGATGCTATAGTGATTTCTCAACGATGTGTCGGGACCTTCAAATCCCAAGCGACCGCATCGCCAGGGGCACCGATCGAAAATTAACAGTATAGGAAACAAGAAGGAGAAAGTCGAATCGAATGCAGATTTCTAAAAAGTGAGGGAGGCGAGCTGGGAGTGAGGACGAAAGGGAAAGATTGAGGTTGGGATATTCTGAGTGAGGAAATGCTGCTCGGGGCTTGTATTGGAAATTAACTACCAGCGAATGGCTGGCGAAATCTGCATTGTAAAACAAAGGAATCTAATAACAGAAATATACTGAATCGACACAGCGTGCGTACCCTGAGGCAAAATTGTACCTTTGAGACAAGAGAAAGTCGCTCTGAATTTTCCGAATCATAAAAAAAAAAAAATGAGAAAAAGAAAGTTGGTTTAAAAAAAAAAAAAAAAAAAATTAATCTCCATAAGTTGTGCAGTGATATAAAAATTTTCTCTCAGTAGTGAACAAACTTATTGAATTTGCATGAATGATGACGGAAGGCAAAGTGTGCGCGTGCGCACGGGTGTTAGTGTCTGTATGTGGGCGCCTGTGCGTGTGCATGTGTGAAGTTGCATGTGCATGTGCGTTTCTGCATATATGTGTTTATCTGCTTGGAAAGATAATGTTTTAGAAATGGCGCCAGCTAGCTTTGTTACAGTTGAGATTCGCTCGACTGCTATGGCAATATTAGCGCGAAATTGCTGTATTCACAAGATTCTTCACTCAATTAGGGTTTGAATTATTGTCGGTTATTTCGAATACAAAATATTTTTGACTGAATAATTCTGACCGGAGGAAGTAGAGGTTGTTTTTGCAATTTTCTAAAACAAAAGTGAGAACGATTAAAAAGAGATAAGGTTTTGTTTGTTTTTACAGAACATTATTTAGAATCACGTGCCAAGTTCCTTTTAGGCCTTTTTTTATTTAAAAAAATCTTAAGATGTTTGGCAAATGTCGAAAATATGAATAAAAGTGTTTATTCTGCAGGAATAAGCTAAAGAAGTATCATGAATTTCATGCTGTTAGCAAAAATTGGTGTAAAAAGACGCACAAAAATTAAAAGGAGAATGACATGCTGAAAAGATTTATGATATTGCAAGAGTTTTTTTTTTTTAAAGAACTGCTTTTCTCTCACAGAAATTGTCAATATGAATTAATACGAATGATACACAATATTGCGTACAAAGAGATAAACATGTTACGCTATGAATACGTTTGTTTTATATTACAATTGGGATATATTCAAATATAGAGTTAGTTGTATATAAATGCATAAACACGATATATATATATATATATATATATATATATATATATATATATATATATATATATATGCACTCACTCTCATATATATACGTATATATATTGTTATTCTTTCTTGAATTCAGATGAGAATTCATTTTTCAAATTTAAATTTAATATATTCTATATCTGAGATTACACACACACACACACACACACACACACACACACACACACACACATATATATATATATATATATATATATATATATATATATATATATATATATATATAATAACTTGAAATAACTGTTTCCTTTTCTGGATACAAAGTGTCTAAAAACTGGTCTAATCTTCTATACATCCGAGAGTGATTTCGGCTATTGTCTTAGCCATTATCAAAGCATTTTACCTGAATATATATATATATATATATATATATATATATATATATATAAAAATATATATATATGTGTGTGTGTGTGTGTGTATCTATAGTGATGGAAGTGTTTTGCAGACTTTTTCAAACACTGTCACTACATCTTTATAGTTGATATTATTGAGTGTTGGTAGTTTCTTTAATATTATTAATACTTCCTAATAATGGAAATTGAATATATTATGGCTTTATACACAATATATATATATATATCTATCTATCTATCTATCTATATATATATATATATATATATATATATATATATATATAGATAGATAGATAGATAGATAGATATATAAATATATTGTGTATAAAGCCAATATATATATATATATAGTTATATATATATATATATATATATATATATATATATATATATATATATATATAATTGTAAAAACTCTTATTAGTCAGAGTTAAATTAGACCAGGAAACAGTTGTATTAAAAATGCTCAATGCACATATAAAGAAAATAAAATATTTAAGGTGTAGAGTTTTTGACCTATATCGCTTGAGTATACCTAAATGTTCAAACCATGGTAGCATATTTGGCTAATCTCATTATTTTTTTATACATATATATATATATATATATATATATATATATATATATATATATATATATATATATATATATATATATATATATATGTCTGTGTGAGTCTGTGTGTGTGTATGTGCGTACGGCGCGCGTGCTTTTCAGGTATAAATATACGGACTATGCCATTTATACTTTCTTTGATAAAAATCCCTCAAAGACATCCTTATTTCAACCACTGTTTTTTTTTTATTCATTCAAGAAATTTTGTTCCACCCTTTAATTTAATACGTGTGCATTAAAGGCCAATTCATTTTTTTTTTAATATTTAAAATTCCAACTATCCAATTTATTCTAATCACTCTATTTGAAAATCAAGTGAATGATTATGTGTGTACATGCATATGAGTGTGTGTAAAATTATATATATGTGTGATATGTTTTCTCATTTATGATATATGATTGTGTTTAATTGATGATGAACAATTAACTAAAAGTCTGTGTTAATTAACAACTACGTTAATTAACATAACGCTTTCCACCAGCTAAATTATACAAGACATGGTGAAAAAAAATGAGGGTTAAGAAATGTTAATGAAAGGTTGCAACAAGGACAATATATATAATAAATACCTCCTTTGAATAAACAACTAATACAAAGAAGAATTATGTTTTCTCTATTAAGCGTTGTCTTTCAGTAATTCTTAATTTACTTCTTCCAGCATCCTTACGAGCTTTTGTTTCGTAGAAGTGACGGAATACAAAAAAAAATTTTCAGTTATTTTCATCGTTCCATGTGCTTTCGTGTTATTAACGTTTAATGATTAAAAGACGGGCCCTGCTTAAATACACACACATACATACATATATATATATATATATATATATATATATATATATATATATATATATATATATATATATACGTACATACAGACACACACACATATATATATATATATATATATATATATATATATATATATATATATATATATATATATATATATATATTCAAGGTAATAAATCCGTTGGTATATAATCCTAGTGAATCCTAGTAATAGAAAATCTTAAAATGATCCACAAAAGGAATAACAGATTAACTATATATAATAATATATGTGAATATATATATATATATATATATATATATATATATATATATATATATATATATATATATATATATATATATATATGTGTGTGTGAGAGAATGTTTGTGTGTATAGTAAAAGTAATAGTTCGGTTGGTATTTAATCCAAGTAGATACTAGTAATATAAAATATTAAAACTGATCCGCAAATACTGTTCAATGTATTTATTATTGCAGAGAAAACAATTAGTATACAATAAAATCCAATATCATATGAGAAATAAGCTTATTTCAACCGACGAAATCCGTCAGTTTTATTCAACCACGGTATAGACTGAGTTCGTTACGGAATTATAGATAGCTCGCTAGCTCGCTAGATTCTCGTATCCCACATTGTTTTAGTACTAAATCAATAAGAAGAGGCGATAAACTGAAATAGTTATGGCGTATACTAATCATCGGTGAAGGGTCATAGATCTTGGGACCTTTAATGTATTTTCGCCAGTGGAAATATTCATCTTTTATTAAACCAGCAACTTTCCTGGTTAAAATTCTAATCACAAATTTCTGGTGGCATACAATTGCATTGAGTATCAGTTTTCGTTTTAACTCCATTTTATGTTCGTATATTATTTTTCTGTTAAATTTCGGAATGTTTTATCGAAGTTTTCTTCTTTTCATGTTGAGGGATTTCTTCACATTATATGAACCAGATGTCTACACCTGATGTAGGCGACGTTCTTTGCTTTACATTGATGAAATTTTTGGTTTTCAAGTGTTTGCGATAATTTTCGTATTGAAAGCTTATCTCAATTTCATTACATATCTATCTATCTATCTATCTATCTATCTCTCTCTCTCTCTCTCTCTATATATATCTCTATATATATATATATATATATATATATATATATATATATATATATAATGAATACAAGGTTAATAGTTAGAATTGAATCAGACCAGGAAAAGTCAGTATTAAAAAGTTTTCAATACAATCTTGAAAAGATAAAATAAAAAGTAAAAATAAAAGAAAAAAAAACATAAATAGCTTTTCACTTTAAAAATTAGGTTGAAGCAGCTACCTTGGTTTTAAACTTACGTTATCCTCAGCCGATGTTTATCAAATGGCCGCTTCACGCTTTACTAGTTTTTTTTTAAACTAATAAACGCTACATTATTTAAAAATAAATAAAGAAACGCATGGCGTTAGGTGTAATAAAGAAGAAGAAGAAGAAGAAATGTATTTATTTTTTTATCCAGCCACGTATTTGCTCAAGAGGAATTTTCTAATATGTAAGCAAGGACTTAAGATTTCAAACTTCTGTTTTAAAAGGTTCTTTGGACCCGGAAATTTCATAATTGCTAATTTTTCCTGTTGTAAGAGGTTGCAAATATTGTTGACATTATTGTAAATATTTGCTTTTTTAATAAAATTTCCACCTTACAAACGGATCCTTTTAGTTTTTTTTCTTTTAAATTCCACACATGGTTAACTAGTTTGGTAAAGTACCTAAGATTTACTAGCTTAAATAACAACATATGACTGTGCCATCTACGTTGGAATGCACGTTTTATTTTGGCCATTAATATCTGTTACTTCTGCTTTATAAATTATAACCTATTTTACAAGTTCTATTTAATGGACATCTGTTCTTATTTCTACAGTTGAATAAATTAATAGTGTTAACTTTACTTTGCTTTTCTTCTCTACCCTCTTCTTCTTTTTCTTCCTTTTCCTCTTCTTCCAT